TGCTGGGAAAAAGCTAGGATATACATTTAGGGCTAAGAAGTACTTTTCTCCGCATGACCTTCTCAATCTATACAAGGCCCAGATAAGGCCTAGCCTCGAGTATTGCTCACACGCTTGGGGTGCTGCGACCTAGCTCTCTTTTACCGTTACACCCACATGGTTTGCTTCCCAGAGCTCTCGTTCATGCTACCGCCACGCAATGTGTCTGGCAGACAGACCCGCCTGCCACCCTAACCGTATCGACCTTCGTACATCCAGAACTGGTCGATGCAACCGCTTCTTTGTCCCGAGGGTGTCGAGATTGTGGAACAATCTACAAGAGGAAGCTACTAACCTAAGGCAGTTCAGAAATCGAATTAACAAAATTTCTTTGGGATCCTCAAAAAACTAAAAAAATCAGATATGAAGCTTATTGACCTAGGGACTGTTCGGCTAAACACCTTAGAATACAATGTCTAATCTCATCGCCATAGACTGCCAAAACCTTGTAAATATTGGGTGTCCAGCAGCTTCAATGTGATTCTGAGTTTCGAGTAGAAAGTCGGGGAGATTATCAAAAAGGTCGAGAAGGGCCTAACTTAGAGTTTGCTAGCTCTTTGGAGTCAACCTTCTTAGGGGGCGCTGCCAGATTTACCGTTTTTAGCCTTCGGCCATCGCTTAACGCTCAACTTCTACCGCTTTTGATTACAATTAGGATCTGTTTTTGTAAATGTATACTCTAAATTGTGATTGCCGAACACCACTTGGCCAAAAAGCGCGAGAACATTCGTAATCGATATATTGAATTTTCTGGATGTTATATGACGTACACCAAAATAAGTCATATCATCCATCTGCATCTGCCTGTAGTCAGTTATCTGTTGTCGTACCTGTAATTATTGCATCCTCTGAGTAAAGTACCGCTCGGATTTTAATGAAACTTTTTTATAAGGTTACTGCCATACTAAGGATGAATGTGCTTTGAAGTTTATTAGGAATGAAAATGTCAGAAATCCAGAATACTCCCAAACATAGATTTTTTCATTATATTTGGGAGTATGTTTTCTGGAGGTATCAAGATTTCAGAAATCGAAACTTCACTTTTCGACGTTTTGTAACTTTCTGGTCACTTTAGATTGTAGCAAAAAAATCTCTAAATCAGGAATATAGTCTTTTCTCAGTGCATGAAAGATATCAAGTCTATCTACTTGACTTTATTTTTTGTGAAAAATGTTTTTTAATTTTTTCTGAGTTGTATCTTCTTAAAGAAACGACCTTTCAAAAACATTAAAAGTCAAAATAATCTTTTTACAGTCCAAACAACCATCTCCTGAGCTTTTGCCTTATGCCCTGAAATATGTATGGGACTATTCCGTACAAAACAGCTCAATGTAATAAATCACATCTAAATATAACAAATTTCAACGCATCTAAAATCCCCTGAGACAGGTGCAAAGCACATATTCGATCTCGATGGACGCGCCGCTGTGTCACGCGCCAATATAATGGTTCCCTTTTGCTTAGTATGAGCCCCAAGGGGATAATTCTACACAGCTTCGAGTAAATAAATCAGTTGTCGTTGCAGTTTGTGTGTAAACGAAAACTTCGCGTCACGCACCGTTGTGTATTTGGGATAAATTATTAATAATTCTCGCCAGTTCTGGCACCGCTGAGAGTATATGTAATGTAATTGTTACAAATGATATAGAGCAGGAACTGTTTATGAGGTTTAGTGTTGTTGTCGTGTTGTTAAAAATGCTGGATAGGATAATATTCGGAAATTAAGGATTTTGAGAATTTATTGGAAATGTTACCAGAACAATTATGTGACGTAAATCTTACAGAACATTTGCTGTTAAGGATATGTTTACTAGGTTGATTACAGTAGTTACTATGCAGTCTTAAAATGATGTAGAAGAATGTAGATTTTTGCGAGTTTGATAATCACTCTTGTCAATTCTAGCAGCGCTGAGCGTCTATGTAATGTGAGTGTTAACAATTAATATTGAGCTGTTTTCTGTTCTAGATGAGATTATCCAGCTTGAAGATGCTTCGATAACAACTCGGGAGTGAAAAACTTTTTGAAAGTAAATTCGATGGTGATTGAATAAATAAATGCTCAAGAAAGATTTATATTGCGCCTTATCCAGACTGACCTGTTGCATGATTTTCTTGGAAAAAGTAGTACATTTCATAGTTTCAGAAGTCAGTCGCAATTACATGAGCACTTTTGTAATCTGAAGTGATTAGCGACAAAACGTACAATATACGGGATTAATACCAGAGTGTCCGGAGTTCAATGTGTATGAGAGAGAAGTGTGTATAAACATATGTTAGAAAGAGATAAAAGCCGGCTGAAGACCGAAGGTCATTACCACAATGCCTAGCAACGGTGACGCAAAAGCTCGTGCAATAGGTTAGGTTACTGTCAAACCCAAGAGGGAGGTCTCTTCGAGTATTTAATAATAATACAAATAAAACGTATTTTATTAAAGGGCGAAGTTTAGCTTAAAGTTATTCTGCCACCTTTGAAAATGAAAAACATTATATAATAACGATTATGAATATGTAAAAGTAATATACTTAAGTATACTAATAGTAAATAATAAAAATTTAATTTAATATTTTGTTTTTATTTTGACTAGAATTATTTATTTATTTCAATTTTGATGCAACTTAGTGTTTTAATTTATTTTGGAAGTGTCGATTTGCACCGATGATGATAAAATCAACATATCCTAAGTTATTGTTACATTTTGCGACAGCGCTGCGATCGGATGTAACAAATAACGTTACGCAATACAAATTATCACTGCCTGCGTGTACGCAGGTGAAAGCCATTTGGAAGCAGGATGACACACCTCTACGAGCGCTAGATGGGTGCTTACCAAAATCGCTCAACTATGATCATGGAGGCGGATATCTTGGATTAAAATGTAGAAGATGCGGCGTTGTCAAATGATGCTAGGCAACGCGGTGATGAGCTTCGATATCCAACCAGCTTCTATTTCTTTCTTACATAATGAGAAGAGAGAGAAAAGTGTCTCTCGTACATACTGACCTCAAGCCGTCAGACAAATCGAGTTTTCAATGTATGAGAAATAATACTGGTGCAGTAGTTAGCTGAGTTGTGTAACATCATGAACGATTTGACTCTTTGGTGAAATACTGATAAAGAATATTTTTTATTATCATTGTTTTCCTTAAGATGAGAAAAGCTATTTTTCACTGAAGGTCTGCGATCAATGATGATTCATCGGGTTATTGAGGTAGAGAACACAAAAATTTGTTTCACATTGACGTCTCATGGGCATTGTGCACGATATCAATGTAGGCTTTTCTTTTCCATGGCAACACTCATTGACGTTCAGTCCTTTGTAGCCCATTTTGCTGTTTTGATAATTGAAAAATATAGTTCAGATTTTTCTATTATTAGCCCAAGTTCAGAGACAGTTTACGCCTATAGCTACAGGTGGGATTTAAATATACTAAGTGACATATAAATCCGAACACCCGGTTTAAATGGTTTTATTTTAATAAAAGTTGGTGAATGTATTTATCTTACTGTAAGTAACAAGTGAAAAAATTTTCAGCCTTATCAGTTGGACATTCCGGTTTTTATACTGCTTTTTTTTAATTCACTAACGCTCTAAAAATGAATATTTCAGCCGCAGTAAAGAATCAACGGTGGCGGATTTTGATTCTTGACATCCTTTACGATCGGTTACGATGCCTAGAGTACGGAGACCTGTACGATTTCGTCAACTTAGTGAGTTTAATAGGGGCCGTATAGTGGGACTTCGGGAAGCTGGACTTTCTTTTCGGGCAACTGCAGTTAGAGTGCAAAGAAGTGTAGACACTGTGGTTAGGTGTTGTCAGGCATGGCTTCGAGAAGGCCGTACGCAATGAGCAAGGGGCACTGGACGCCGCCGTAGAACAACAGACCGTGAAGATCGCCGCCTAAGATTATTGGCATTAAGGGACCGTTTCTCCACTACCAGGTCCATTGCAAATGAATGGTTTGCAGAACACGGAAGACCTATTGGCATGCGAAGTGTTTACCACGAATGACAAGTTTTGGCTTGTTTCCATACCGGCCACACCGGGTCCTCCCTTTAACTCGAGAACACCGACGTAATCGCCTTGAGTGGTACAGACAACGGTCACTCTGGGATCAGGAATGGAACAGTATTGTCTTTAGTGACGAGTCTCGATTTTGTTTAGGCATGCACGATGGTCGTGCCAGGGTTAGAAGGCGACGTGTTGAAAGGAGGAATCCACAGTTTTTTGTTGAAAGACATGTTCATCACACTGTTGGTGTTATGGTTTGGGGTGCTATAGATTATGGTTCCAGGTTACCTTTAATCTTCATCAGAGGTAACATGAACGCGCAGCGTTATATCCACGAAGTTCTAGAACCCCATTTTTTACACTATCTTGACACCCTGGCAGATCCAACTTTCCAACAAGATAATGTCCGACCACATGTTGCAAGAGTCACAATAGACTTCTTTCAACATAACGATGTCACATTGTTACCATGGCCATCAAGATCTCCCGACTTATCCCCAATTGAGCACGTGTGGGATATGATGGGTAGGAGTTTGCTCAATTTGCAACGTCCTCCTCAGACTCTAGAAACACTTCGAGAGGAGTTGGTGGTTGCCTGGAATGAGATACCACAGGAGGACATTGACCACCTGATCAGAAGCATGCCTAGGCGCGTTGGAGAATGCGTAGCACATCAGGGTGCATCCACACATTATTAAAGGTCAGAGGGCTTTAAAGCAGTGCAATCATTTTGAAATTTTTATCATTTACTTATTATGCTTCATTAAGTACTTATACAAAATTTTATTAAAATAAAACCATTTAAACTGGGTGTTCGGATGTATATGTCACTTAGTATTTATCCTTGATAATTCCCTTAGGAACTGACTTACCTTGACTTGGCGATTGCTATTGTATGAATCATGAATAAATAATTTTATTACGTTCCATCTAGAAGAAGAAGTTGATCCGGACAAAGTAACCATTGGAGAGTCCGCTAGGTAGTCACTTTTTTATTGTTGCTCTTCGGTATCGGCAGAAATGACCTTCATGCATGTTTTGGCTAATTTGGAGCTAAATTAAAGCATGGCTAATGTGATAAAAAATCCTAAATTTTGACTTCAGTGATTTTACATCCTTAGTAAGGCTAAGGCTAAGTCAAGTCTATGAGTATAAATAATTAGAAAAATCGGTAATAAACGTAATGGATATATTGACTTCACCGGCTATTATTACTAATTTATTGCAACTCATATTCAGGAAATGGGAGTAATGCCACTATATAGCGTTTTTCGTTGTTCATTTTTTTACTTGAAGTATTAGTATCCAATACTTTCATTCTATTTGAAAATACGTTTCGAGTATGTAAACCATCCTAGGTCATACAATATCGCTCATGAATCATTATTATTCAAGCCTTAAAGGGGTTAGTAGTCAGAAGCCTGTTATTTGAGCTTCAAGTGATAGTCAACAAAAGGAACTTTTACCCAAACAATTTTAAAAATAGAACAAAATATGCTACTACCATTGAAAAAATTAACACTCACCTTCATACTGGGGAAGCCGATACCAACAACGAAGTTGGCGATCCAGTTGACCAGCACGGCGATGCTCATGGCAGCAGGCCTGGGACCCTGCGAGAACAGCTCCGCGGTGATCATCCAGGGGATGCTGCCGGGTCCTACGGCGAAGAACTTCACGAAGCAAAGCGTGGACACCACCGACAGGTAGGACATCCAGTCGATCATCTCCTGCACGTAGCCGAAAAACTCCTATCAGGCGGTTAGCCAGGCTGTTCTTTCCCGAACGAGGGGAGGGAACGCCTTATGTGGTACTACTTGCAAGGGGGTGAGGGTTATCCAGCCATTTGGGGATTTAATGATCATAAACTTGGTACTTTCCTTTAGATAGGGTATAGTTCTGGTAAGGACCCGTGTGAAAATAAGCTCATTTTACTTTCAAAGCATACGGGTCCGACGATTACTGGAAACCATGTGGTGTGCGTCAGTATTCACCCGTTTGTCATATAAGTAAACCGAGCCGTTTGTTTAGAAATCAAATTTGAAAAAACGAAAATCATATAGCAATAACTTTCCAATATCGTATTTATTGTGAATGGGCCTCATACGTGTATTCAGGTGGTCTTCTTGGACGTGTGCGTTGGGTGCCGCATGAAAGGGCAGCGCTTTAAATTGAAAGAACAGTTCTAACTTTCAGATCACCCCATACATACGCACACAGCAACGGCATCTGAGTACGATAAGTTATGTCATTATCTTCCAATCCGCAGCCTCACTTTAGTACGGAATATAACAGGTCTGTGAATTAAGTGATGAGACTGATTTTTTTTATTCAAATATAATTACAATTTTATATTGTCACTCCACAAAAAAATTTCCTTCTGAAGTCACACAGCGCTGTAGTAGTGCTAGAACTTTGATACTGGAATAGCCTTCAGCTAATCGGTTACAACCGTTTGAGTTTTTTTTATATTCCAACTACCACGAAAGCCTAAGGCCTAAACACCCATGGGGTACCGTGCGGCTATAGGGGGATACAGGGGAATGGAGGTTCGCCACACGGACTCGGTCGAGGAACACGTGTGCATGCAACATGCCCTCCTAAGAGACCCGCCGGGTGGTACCTCTGCGTTCGACAGTCAGAGACCATCTACTACCTAATGTTTTCGACTGTCCTAAAATGAGTTCCCTTGAGGTGATTTTTCAACTTCGGGAAGAAACTCACAACGACTCAAGAAAAGGAGGCTGTGAAGCCACAGGAATGTTTTCATTTGCCAAAAACTCGTTTATTAACATTGCTGTTTGACAAGGAGCATTATCGTGATGCAACACCCAGTTGTTCTTGATCTCGGTGGTCTGAGTCAAACTTAACTCTTCCTTGATCATTCTGACTGCCAAACGACTCTCTCCCCCTGTAAATGCCTTATACCACCTAAAAACCTGAGCTCTTGACAAAACACTATCTCCGTAGACCTGCTGAATTTTAGCAAGAGTTTTTGTTGCACTGTGCAAAACCTGATAGCAGGCCGTTGCTCGAAATTGATATCATTTATTTTCAGAACACAATAGGAAAAACTGTTTTACAAAAAAATCGCTACGGACAATCAAATGACTCGAGCGAGTTCAAACTTGTAGTGAAAGTAGATCACATGTTCCCATGTCTCCCCTACAAGCCTGGCGCCTCCAGTGTTGCCAGATCTAACGCTAGGTTGCCAGTCTCATCACTTAATCTACAGACCTCGTATGCCGATTCTGAAATCTCTCTTTTGGGGAAAACCAAAAAATATTTTGTTTTCTTATCATACAACTGGTATTTTCGCTCAAGATAACATAAATCTCCAAATAGCTGGATTTTTGCATGCAAGTTAACGATTCGGTTTATCTTAAATCTGCCGTCAAAATCCAAATTTGTTAAGTACTTACGAGTTACTTTTAAGCTATTATATCTCGAGTCTTATTTAGAAAATTAATAGCATGCAATGTGCTTTATTTTATTACCAATAAAGTATCACGAGTAAATACTATCTCAGCACATTAGCTCACACGAGGATAAAAAACAAAAATTGACCAACTACTAGCAATGGTGGAATGGTGTCTTAACATACTTTAATTTTGTTTTGTATAGAATGTTTGGGGAAACTTTAGGCGAATCCTTTTCTATACATTTTGTACCAACAGTTTTCCAATTGGCCAATTAAAGTGGCTGTAGTGATGGTCTTTTTGGTTGTGATACATAGTGATATGTGAGTGTGCAGTTAATAGTGTTTCGAATGTTGAGATATAACTGATATACTAAATTAGATCGTCTATGGTGATGCAAAATATTTAGTTTTTTTCTGTTGCCTCATAGGGTTAGAGTTCATCATATTCTCAGTGTTAAAAAAAAACGGAAATACATTTCAGTTTAACAAGTTTCTCGGAAAAATCTAAGAAGATTTTTCGGTCAAATTAAAATTCATATAATTAAATTGAATGTTAGAGGCACAAACACTACAAGCTGAAACAGTGCTTTTTGGAGGTTCATTTCCTAAATACTTAAAATTCATAAGGATATCGATAATGAGAGTTATTCATTGTAAAAGCGGTATGTTATAGGAACCAAGAATATTATCACGGAAAGATTGAAGTTTGAAGTAAATATTTCTGAGTTATGCTCATACCGAGGCTGCATATTTGTAGAAAGTAGAAAGAAAATATGATAGTGTACGATTATTTGACGAATAAATATAGTGCTAATAGTTCTTCGATTTCACTTAAAATTCTCAATAATATAATGTCTGGTGATCATAGCTATGACAATCTGTGGCTTTTAACAAGGAGTTTTTTGTTAAAGTCTTGGTCAAATACCTGTAACTACTGAATTTCGAAGAACAAATTTTCAAAAGTTTATATGAACGTTTATGAATCGCCAAAATTACCCCATGAAGTCCGGCCAAGTGTTGTAACAACACGATGTACATTAGAATGGGCCTTGAGGCAGAAGCAAACTTTGGTATATTTTGTTTCTTCTGATATTTCATGAGACTTCTCTCTTCAATCTGGTTCATCAACAAATAAATATCTTATATGCATGTTGTACTATTTGTTGATAAAATTGAGGAAACTGTAATAAAAGTGTGTGTATGTGCACGTGTGAGACTCTTCTAGCAAAAGCAGCATGCATATTGCATGTAGTGTAACCAATAGCGTCCCTCCTCCACCGGTTCAGGAAAGTCGGAGAATGCAGAACAGGGAGGGAAAAAGAAGCGGGTGAAATGGGGGTGATGATGTAAGCAAAACATAAATGATTAATTACATGATGTGTTGGCGAAACAAAACGAAGGTTGTTCCATTTAGGCGGAAAAGGCCCTTTAATTGTGCGCTGTGGGGCATGAACCCAGCTCCGCTTGCAATTACCGTTGCTTCTAACTAGGGTATATTCAAGTGTCAGTCCTCATTTGAAAATATGTGTTTTTGTTGCCCGAGTATTCTCCGGATCAATATCGTAGCTGAATAAGTTAGAGATTATTTCTGCTAATGACATATACGGACAATACCACTAATGCCACTCCGCAGTTAATCTAGCTCCTACCTAGATCAGCGACACCCATACCATGAAGTTTATGTCAAACTGTCAGTTTTACAAATCAAAGGTGATTGTCCTGACATATGACTGAAGGATTAGGCAGCATTAGGGTCACACCCTGAAAACAGGTTTGTAAAAACATATTACGTCTCAGCTTACGTGAGAAACTTCACGTTTGCGCTTTGGAGGGCTTCTTGTTCATAGGAAATCAGTCGGAATATACTGTTTTTGGGGAAAAAGCTTGTTGGAATTATGCAGTTTGTTTTAAGGAACCGACTTTATCAAAATTATAGGTGTAAGCACAACACATAAAGATGTATATCTATTCAAATTGAAATAAAGGCACGAAAACAATGGATAAAGCGGTTAGTGATTTGTGAAGCAACCAAAATATAACTGCATGCAAAGGATTTCTTAAAACTAATTTTAACCTAAAGAAAATATGTTCAGCAGAAACTTGAGTCTTTCAATCCATGGTAAACGTGAAAGACGTCCATCATATTTTGAATGCATTCATCATTTCAAAATTCAAAATATGATGCAAGGAAAACAATAAAAAAATATCAATGTTAAGTTGAAATAAAGATGGGAGATATTATTGGGCACATTCAGGCTATAGTGTTTTCTTTTGAGGAACTAGTTTTGCACTGCTGCATGTGTCTGTATGCACGTTCCTTTGGTTATCACATTGAACTTGTATTGTATTCAGTGCAGAAATATCGTACAACGAGGAACAGTGACACATTTCACATCTTTTACTTGTGATTTTGCACGAAATCATTTTTTAGAATTAATTTTCTCACTGTTTTGTTTTCTCTTTTCGCTAGTTCATCGCGTACCTAGTTGAATTGAGGCACTATTAGGCGAGCTATTTTATATCCTGAGAAGCATAACGCCGAGCAATATAATGAGGCCAGTAATGATCTTCTCAAACGAGGTTTGTATATACTTTTTTCACTACTAACACTGGCCATGTTTACACCGTAAACGGGCATTTATGCTGCTTTGTGTCTAACTAAGTACTTGGCTACCTACGGTGTAAACACCTCATTTTACAAATACAAATACTTCAAAATATCTAGTTATAGCAACAGACAACCAGTTTAGCTTGGACTAGTCCATCCAAGGGAACTAAGGTACAAATATATTTTTTTGTTAAGATCAAAGGCCGTATTCAAACCTTATGTCCATTATTTTTTAATCAGTTACTTTAATTCTCAACCGTACTAAAATATGTCGAAAGATAGAGTTCACATATCACAATGAAATTGACAGAATACAATTCAAATGACATTATTATTCGCCTAGAATTTTTTTTTGTTTTCATCATTTACCTAGGGAGAGAAATACTACTTCTCAAAAGGCCGGTAATGATTTTTCGGGTTAGTAGCTAGAAAACACTGCTGCGGAAAGACGATGGCACGAGATACGAAATGATATGCTCTTTTGGGGGAAATTTTAGGATGAATTGCGGCAGTTTCGAACACAAAACCTGCACCAGTTTTATTAAAAGAAAACACTATTAGTGTCAATATTGTTAAGGAGATCGTTGACATTAGCAATTGCAGTGCTGTCATTCCCTGAATGTGCCTATTAACCTGCGACATTACAAGTTGTCTACTTAAGGTAAGAAAACGCATATAATTTCATGGATGTAGGGACACAT